GGACCGAGACGTAGTGCTCACACGACCCTTAATGTTATAATTGGTACCTTTCCCATGTACTGACGAACACAACAGATAATAAGAAAAATGGTTCCTACGATGACATGAAAGCCATGGAATCCAGTAGCTAAAAAGAATGTAGAGCCATATATCCCATCAGAAATGGTAATTGTGTCGCATAAGTAGCGACCTTCACGAATGGTGTAACGACTGCCCCGCTGTCTCCAACATGGGCTAAGTGAAATTGAATTCTCTGTGAAGATGCGGAGTACCAGCGGCTAGACGGTAAGACCCCGTGCACCTTTATTATAGCTTTGCATTGACAACCTTTTACAAAATTTAATGAACAACGAATGGAACACCTTAAGRAAAGAGTTTCCAAGTCAATCAAATCCATCAAAGACAACAATRTTCTAAGACACATGATRCTAATTGTCGTCTAAGAAGCGGAATATCTTTATAAGAGAACTGGAAAGGCGGTCGATCTCCRCGTTGCAACAACGTCGCATACATCAACATGAACACCCCACAACTTACTTCATCCACTTGTCTCGGAACTCCATCCACCACAACATTTCCCACTATCGACTTCCAACTCCTACCTGACCGCCTATGTGATGTTAAACGTTTCAAATACTGCGCAATCAATCCGAAAACAGAAAGGTAAAAACTAGAATTAGATACCACGCGAGGAAAATAATCAAAAATTTTGAGAACATCATCTCTCATGTTGACGGAAAGGAGGATCCAGTGATCATAATCTTTGTGGATAGGAATGAAGACAATATCGTAACGAAGCAAATCTACGTTTCTAGTCCACCTCCGCACCCCACCGTGTCCATGAAGTCGCACTTTACTGAAGAAGAACGAATTTAAGCTGAAGACTTGAAGGCCCGACGAGATGTCACGTGACCCACATGCGGTTGACCCCAACAACGCCATATAGAAATTGGCCACCTCATCATTCACCCTGCCGTCGACATGTAGTAGGGTGAGGAGATCTTTTGCTGCAATCCGAAATTGACCATCGCCCAGTATATAGAGAACAGTGTGAGACGGCATCGAGCCTCGTACAATGTCGTCCAAAACCCGCAAGCTCAGAGGCTCAATCGCTGCACCGAAACTTTTCCCGCGTGCTGCACTTGCGGCCCGCACTGCACAACATCGAGCAAAGGACACATTGGGTAGTGAGAAATGGAGTTCTAGGCATTGTCCCCCGGAGCATGACGCGTTCTAAGTACTTTTCATACATGGCCTGACCCCTACTCACAGATCGTTAATATGTCCCTTTCTCTCGGGCAAGAAGGGAAAGACATTCCTCAATGGCAACGTTATACTCCTTCTTCCCGATCTTGACATCAACCCCTGATGCCTTTAACATATCATTGTGTTTTGTAGTCAATCCGGGGACTTTCTGCAATATGTGCTCAGGATATTTGGAGGACCTTCGTGTTCGAGATGACCCCACCCCTGTACAACAGAAGAAAGACAGAACGCAAAATGAGAACCATACAATCGCACAACGCAACAGTCAAGCAGGACCTCTCCGACCATAGGACCCTGATTTCGCATGGTCATGTGCACCCAGGTGCGGTTGTGCTACTTGAAAACAAAACGACTGCAACATTTTAGCTTTACACCCCCACACTTTGCAAAGGAAAACCACCACAACTCACAGAAGCCAAAGGGCAGCAATCCCCGAAGTTCGAACTGCAGTGGACTTTTCGATACACCAGCCCCACTGAGAATGACCACATCACACATCGACAAAGGAAGTTCGGATCCCAGCGGACTAAAACCAACATTATTCCCGAGAAGGGAAAACCGTCAGTCCATCTACTTGGCCACTTTCTTAGCCMCTTGGCCACATCCTCAGCTGGGGAAGATCCTTTCTTGGATGGAGTGTAAGTTTGTCGACGAACTTTTTGCCGCCCTCGACCAGCAACCCGGTCGAGTGACAGATAAGCCGACGAGATGTATTAGGAAGGGCTGGTGGCTGTAGTATGGTGGCATTMGGAACTTCCCGTATCGACAGATAGTGTGGACAGTCGTCGTGTGTATAGCGCGGACTGTAATCCGACGACATYSGGACGCGCAGGCAGTGTAGCGTTCTTCACGGCTTACCAGTCTGTTTCTCTCTCCGCTCCTTCGATGGGGAATTTGGCGCGGGCAAAGCGAGCACGTCGAGAGCTTGACCGCCGACCCTCGATTTTTTTGGGGACGTGACATGTTGTCGTTCCCCGACCTCGCCTTCCTCTCCGGCGACAAGGGTGGCCGGCAGGACCAGGGACTTCGGCGGCGACGAAGCGAGGGCAGCTGCAACGGGAGACGTGACGTTGCCAGTTTCGTCGACGTCAGGCGATGTGGACGTACGGGCAGACACGTTGTGGTCGCCGAGGACACCGTCGATAACTTCGTCGATGCTTATACGCCGACTTGTTTTAGACGGGCTGATAGCGACGGAAGCCTCGTGGAAGCGGTGCTGCAAGTCGACAGCAGACGTCAGTGGTCGGACCGCATAATCTTCTGGCTGTGCGGAAAGGCTGCTAACGACCTGTGTCTCCATCTCTATTGTCGTGGCATCGTCGTTGACATCATCCTGGTGATGCTCTCCGTACAGTTGTCAGGACTCGTTAGACGACTCTCCATATCTGGCATCGTCCTCACTGTGCTCCACTTCGTCGTCTCCAGATCCGGTACCCTCCCTTCCTTCAAGCAAATCAAGTAGCTCTGTTTCTCCCGCTTCCTCCCCTTCCTCCTCTTCTTCCCCTTCTTCCTCCCCTTCTTCCTCCCCTTCTTCCTCCCCTTCTTCCTCCCCTTCTTGCGCTCCCCTCCGTTCCCCCATTTTCTCCCCTACTTCCCTTCCACGAAACTCATCCCCTTCCGCGGTACCCGTGTTGAATCCCGAGGACCACACTTCCGTCTCCATGCACGCTGCCCCTCTCATCGGCATGACAATCCCTGGCCGACACCCCGCGCCCGAAGAAGTTTGGATCTCGGCGTACTTCGTCGTCTCCGTGTCGCCGGACCCTGTACTTGCAGCCTCTCGCTGCAATCGTTGCGGTCGTCGCTCCTGCTCAGGCGACACCTTTCCTACGTCTCCGTCCCGCGCTGCAATAATATCAATTTCGAGATCCTTGCTTGGCTCCCCCGACCCCGAGCGGCTTTGCATTCCGGACCTCTCTGGCGGCTCCTCAGCGGACGTAGTTCGGATCCCGGCAGACTTAAACTTTCTGTCGGAGCGACTGCGAAGAGCAAGCAAAGCTGCCAACGTGTTCCTCGTTGAGCCCACGGACGAAGTCGGGAGGTCCGCGGACTGTGTCGTATGCTCCGGCCAGGTGCCTGTCGACAGAGGCCGGTCGACGGAGGCCGGTCGACGGCGAAACCCGCCATCCCGACGCTGCCTCCCGGTGTCGTGTTGCGGCCGTGAGACCCCCTCTCCCCACTAGGCGGGATTCCTTTGCCACCCCCCGCGCCACCACCCCCATCCCCTCCACTTCCAGGTGCCCCCCCCCGGAACTACCGTCCGGCCCACTGGGAGGGGGCACTTTCCAGTCCACCACGCCCTTCGACAGACTCGTGTCGACGTCGTAGTAGTCCTCCGTCAATTCGAACCAGCACTTGTCGTGAAGCTCGTCAAACAGTCGACCGACTGTGGAAATGAGGGACAAGTCGCCGGGTGCAACGGTGTCATTCTCGGCAGTCACTTTCTGGAGGACCGAAATCCTCGCGAGGTGCAGGAAGTTGGACTTCGACTCGCGTGGGAATGACACCCATCCCGCGCCCGGGATTGCGACGGCCATGACCCACTCGCCCTTTCGTATCACTGGCTGGATTACTGCCGGATGCCACACTATGTCATGGCCCCATTCCAGCTCAGGCCAAATAACGTTCTGGCTCAAGCAGGAAGTGGATGTGGTCATCCTGCCAAGATGGATGATCGGGCGGGATGTCGGACCCGAGACGCAAAGCGGACCGGGGGATGGCCAGAGCTCTGAGTCTCTCCAGCAACTTCATCGGCGTGGTGCCCGACCGCGTTTTGGCCGACGGTGACACGAGGGCTCCAGCGCTCGGTGACGGACCGACCGACGAGGACCCTCTGTCGTGGTCTGCCGGAGGTGGGTCGTACTGCAGGTCAATGCTCTCTTTGTCGCTCTCCTCCTCCTTCGCATTAGCGACAAACTCTACACCTGTGGCTTCCTCGTCATCAGTGGAGATCAGGGAAGCGTAACTGGCTAACTTTAACTGCTCCTCGGACTCCACGAAGTACAGCGACTGCAGCCTATCGAGAAACGTCTTCTYGTTCATGCGGGAGGCGAAGTGGTAGTTGTCRAGCACTGCCAWCATGTGGTCCGTYCGGCGGACGTACTCGGCGTCAGAGTCCTTCCTCGACTGTGTTTGAAGGAACAAGAAATCGTATATATTGTTCCTCTTCCTCTCGCTCAACTTGAACCACATATCCGTCTTGTTGCTCYACACCTTATCTCGTGTTGGCTTCACGACCATGAACTCACAATTGTGCCCGCCCAAATTGACCTCGCTTTTCACCACCTGCATCGTGAATTGCAAGAGTTCGACGTTCCCTTCCATCGCGACAACGTGTCGGCCGGCCTTMAGAAGATCCCAGACGCTTCGCGCGTGGGGTTTCCCAAGGAACACGACACCCTCTCCCTTCTTGTCAAGGAAATCAAGAAGACWRACGCATTGTGTCGGATTGCGTTCCATATCCCCGTAGAAAATGCCCTGTCGTTCCGGCGCCACCAGCGACCAATCGCAAGGCACAAAGGGAATCTCGGACACATCCGTCTGGGTGACCCTMTGAGGCAATCGCACGACASCAGCGGCACCCCTGGGCAGGTTTCCCTCGTAGACCACGGACGTGTTGGCGTGCAGATCGTCACCCTTGAAGAGGATGTACATGCGGTCTTCCTCCGTGTACAAATTGTTCCCAACGGGGAAGCTTTTCTTTTGCTAAACTCTCCTCACCCACTTCCCTTCCAACAACTTGACGAGAGAAAGATGGTGGATGCTGGCGAGAAACGTGAGGTTGTGCTGCGGCGGCACGAAAACAACGAGAGTGCAATGCGACGGACACCACGTCTGAAGATAGGAATCCAAAGTCTCCCACGCTTGGGCCTTCCACAGATTGAGGTCAACCGGCTCGCACAGATCAAGGACGAACGTGTGACTCTTTGTGGCAGTCACTGCTTCCTTCAGCTCTGCGCCCCTCATGTCCGCCTCCAAAGGGTCGTTAGCGAATGGCGCRATGGATGTCACGTCCCCCGTGTCTTTCCATTTAATGTGAACAATGTCTTCGGCAAGGGCGACCTCCCAGCTCTTCAGTCTACTCCCATTCAACACGGAGAGAACCTTGTTTGTCCAGTCGACGGACAACTTCTTGTGTCCCGCCAACTTCTCCGTCACCTCAATCGAGTTGTCATGGTCGCAACCCATGTACGGCGGACAATCCTTGAACAGCGCCGAGTCGGAAACGTGTTTCTTGCTGTTATCCTACAACTCGTCATCCAATCCCTGACTTTCAAACTTCATGAACACTGTAGACCTCGATTTWAGGAAAGGGTACCTTTGGATCCAATCCGCGTYCGGCCTCTTCTCRTGTTTGAATTGGTAGTAATTCCACAACCGGACCAGCACGCGGCCGCACTTCACCAGCTRCACCATTTCCTGCACGCTGAGCTTCCCCAACTTCGCCAACGACGGGGAGCCGGCCTGGACCCAAACGACCTCGGAAGCAAGCACCTTCTTAASAMCGCGACACTTCTCATTGTCCGTGAGTGATTCCATTGCTTTCCAACAATGCGCGTCYGGGTCGGGCACTTGCACGAATCAATTGCCCTCCTCTTTCTCCTTTTTGCCTTTCTTATTCGGTGGGTCCACAGGGACGTTGTACACCACCTCAGCTCTGCCCAACTTGTCGTTGTAGATGTAGGCGACCCCAGGCTTGACGTTYTTGACCTTCTTCTTTTTCACGATCCACTTCGCTCCGTCGTGGCTCAGCAATCTACCCGTCTCCCATTTTTTGAAAAATTCCATGGCCAGTTTCCATACATTTTCTCCGGCCATCGCGAGAGGGAAATAAGAACGCAGGGCAGCATTTTGCTTCTTAAGGGCCTCCTCTTCCTTTTGATCCGCGAGAATCCACAAGCTRTTGTGAGGCGCCTTATGGAGCGCGGTTGTACAAAACTTACGCCAAGCCCGGACCTGATCTTGTTTCCCGCTAGGGTTCCCCATCACAGCTCTCGGGCAGCCATCATGCTTCCACTGCCACCGAATGTCTTTCATAGACAGTTTCAACTATTTGGGAGGCGCCTTCAGGTCCTTCTTGTTGTCATGTGAACTAACAAGAAAATACCCTTCAAAGTCGTCGTCCAAAAAGTAAAGCATTCGCGCCGGCCACCACTCGAAATTGTACTTCTCGGCCACCTCGCTCCCGAGCAGCGATCGGGCTGCATCCGCGTTATGCTGCCTGCACACCGAGTAGTCGWAGTATTCTCCCACCAGCTCGTCCTTCCACTCCTCCGGCTTAAGACGTTGAGCCTTGGTCCAGGGAGTTGGTTTTTRAAGCCCCAGTGGTGCGAGCTTGAAGATCRGCAACTCGTACGTCTGCTCTTTATTTTCGAGCGCATACTGCATTGCTTCTTTTATCGTTCCGACGAGAAGAGGATCCAGTGACCGCTGGTTGTAAAGATCCTCCCACTCCCTGAGGTCGACGATCWGAGCYGGGCTAATCTCAAACTCCCGCCTTGTCCTGACGCCGTCTTTGTACTCYAGGAAGTACCCGGCGTCCACGTCGATGGCAGGCCTTGTCGTGGAAGGTCCTGACACAGGCTGTTTCTCTTTCGAAGCCGGACGTTTGCTACCTGGGTGGTCCTCTTCCACCCCCCTTCCCTTCCGTCTCTCTCCCGTGGTCTTCGAGGTCCTGGTCTTTTGTTTCTTCGAAGAGCCTACCAAGTCCTCTTGACAATCTCCCCTCCTTTTTTAGGGAGTCCCCTGCGCTCCCTCACCGCCCACGGCCTTGTCGTCCTCGCAATGGCCCTCGCCAGGCTCCAAGTCGAACCCCCACTGGACTGCCTCTTCTCCGGGATCCGCTGCGACCTCTTGTCGAACCGCGGTCTGTAGCCGGACCCCAGGTATGGACAGCATGGACCGGTCTCTTTCCCTCGACGACAAAAACGGCGGACACGGTGTCGCCTCATCTTCGCTGTCGTCAAACTGACCTCTGGCATCCACCCGCTGCACATGTGTAGCCTCACCGGAACCCACATCCCCTCCCTCCCCCGCTGCCCCGCTCGACTCACAACCGCCGCACAGCTGCAAAGGCATAGATAGTTCTAGGTCGGGACCGACTTCGCAAGGGACGTCGAGGGCGATGTCCTTGTCCTCCAACAAGTCGAAGAACTCTTGACCCAAAACAAACCCGCCCTGCCGCCGGAGGTCGTTGTAGAACGGGGTGTTCGCAGCACCCGCTCCGAACCCCTCGAACAGACACATGCCGAGAACTGCCCCCTTAGCACCGGCGACGACGTTCCCCTTCGAACCGTACACATTTTTCATGTAGAACCGTCGATGACTGCCTTTCGCATTCTCCCACCGCAAGACAGCCCCAAAACCCTGCGACGCTTGTTGGCTTCGACGAAGATCACAGGACCACACGGCTGTTGAATTGGGTTCGAAGCATCACCACA